ATGTTCATCAATTGTATACCTGTACAAAAAACCAGCTTTGGAAACGGTACCCAGAAATGCCATGCCAGATACCAAGGTGTTTTAGGAAATAATGTAATAAGCAGAAATGAAAGCAGAAAAGAACCAACCAAATACAGTATAGAAAACTGCAGATACAAATATTGCTGACTAACAAGACCTACTTTTTGAAGAAAAAGACTGCTGAAATCAAAAGATATAATGTATTAAATTGTCTTTGAATCATACATGATTAGAGCTAGAAAGATCTTTTAAGAATAGTCCAATTGCTTCATTTTATGGACAAGGACACTGAGTCCAGGTAGGTTAAATGACTTGCCCAAGGTCACATACCTACTTATGTCACAGTCAACATCATAAGCCAAATCCAGTGTTCTTACTCCTACGCTGCATGGCCTCTCTAACTTGGACGCATTCAGCTACAGTGTTAATTAGTGACTCCGGCAGTTACTGTAGATTAGCTCTCTGAACACCACCTCCTTTCTCTTTCTAGCATGCCTTCCTCTATTTTTAAAGTTAGAAAGCTAAAAACTCCATCTCCAGAATCCTTTGTAACTAAGGTTCTAACTTGAAAGGAGAAGTAAGCATTGTGGGGTGGCAGCAACAAATAGGGAAACTGGATCTTATGGCAGAAGCACTTGGTTCTTCCAGAGTAGTTACAGCACAGGTTTTATTGTGTGGTTCTCAACATTGTAAGTGATGAGTGGTGGGCAGTGGTTGCACTGGTATCCATCAGAACAGGTTCCTTTGAAACAACAGGTATGGTTCCTGTATTGTTTCCGTGTGGCATTCAAGCTTGGTTCCCAGGTCTTCCTGGAAATTGTGTGCCTAATTTCCTTTAATAAATCATTTTCTTCTTAAGCTAGCTAGAATGGATTCTGTTGTCCGCCACTAAAACTCATGACCCAGGCTGAGTAGCTTTCAATAGAATTTTAGAGATTAAAAAACGTCCTTTAACCAATTCACTATTATATACAAGGAGTTCTGGGAGATGCAAAAAAACTTGATATTTGCCCTCAAAACAATTAAATAAGACACCCACTATATGCCCAATAAGGATTGCAGTGTTAGGTAGTGCTAAGTACTCTGAAGAAAAACAAAAATGGTTACATGAAAAAGAAAAGATGCCTTCTTCTTTTTTTTTTTTTTTTTTTAAAAAANCCGTGGCCTTGGTGTTATCAGCACCGCACTCTACCGAGTGAGCCACAGGCCGGCCCAAAAGATGCCTTCTAATACAAATAAAATTGTGATGTGTCATCAAGGGAATAGCTCACACCATGAAAATGAACAAGCTATAGCTACTTACAACTACATGAACAAATCCTTAAAACATAATATTGAGTACAAGAAGCAAGAAATGAGGAAACAAGCAGCCAAATCCCAAGTGTGAGATATTCTGCAGGCCAGATGATCTAGTTTTCTCAAGACAAACTCCAAACTAATGGCATAATAAAAAGAAAGGGAAAATGGAAAGAAGGGACTGTTGAAGGTTAAAAGAAAGATAGTAGGCATAAGATTCTGATTTTTAAAAACTATAAAAAGATATTTTTGGTGCCGGACTGAGGGGGGTGCCACGGGCCTCGTCCACGCCCCCCCAACTTCTGTCTCTTCCCACCCTATTTCTCGTGCCTTCCCTTCTCCCCCAACTCCGCAACTGCTCTGCAACATTTTAGAATGTAAAATAAATAAATAAATAAATAAGAAGGGGGGAAAAAAAAGACATCCTTGGGGCAATTGGGGAAATTTGAATAAGAACTGGGTATTAGATGATATTAAGAACTTATTATTAATTTTGTTAATAGAGATAATAACGGCATGGTGGTTATCTTTAAAAATTCCTCTTAGAGATGCACACCGTACTTTGTATGGGAAAAATAACAGAACGTCTGGGAAGTACTTTAAAATACCCCAGCAAAATCTAATAGACAAACCACAAAGTGAGGTTGATAAAACAAGATTAGTAAATTCTTGATAATTGTTGAAACTGGGTGAAATGTTATAGTATAATATTAGGGATTCCTTATATTATTGTTCCTAATTTTATTTAAGTTTGAAATTTTCCATAATTCAAATTTTTTTTTTAATGAGAAAAGTAATTTACTGAGAAACTTCTTCTGAGTTTAAATGTAAAAATACGTCTATAAGAATAAAATAGACGTTACATATTTATGTGTAATTTTAAAAACTTCTTATTTTGAGATAATTCTAGATTCATATGCAGTTGTAAGAAATAAATTGGAGAGATCCCATATACACTTCATCCAGTTTCCCCCAGTGGCAATATCTTGCATAACTTAAGTACAATATCACAATCAGTAAGCTGATATTATATAATCCATTGAACTTATTCAGATTTCACCAGTTTGATATGTATTCATTGGTACGTATGTGAGCATGTATATTATTTTCTACACAATTTTATCTCATGTGTAGATGTGAAATGTGACCACTATAGTCAAGATACAGAACAGTTCTACTACAAGGTTGCCTTGAGCCACCGCCCTTCCTCTCCACCACCTCCAGCCCTTGGCAACTACTAATCTATTCTCCAAGTCTGTAATTCTGTCATTTCAAGAATGCTACATAAATGCAGTCATAAAGTATGTAACCTTTTGATGCTGCCTTTTTTTCTTTTTTTTTTTTTTTAAAGATGACCAGTAAGGGGATCTCAACCCTTGGCTTGGTGTTGTCAGCACCACGCTCAGCCAGTGAGCAAACCGGCCATCCCTATATAGGATCCGAACCCGTGGCCTTGGTGTTATCAGCACCGCACTCTACCGAGTGAGCCACGGGCCGGCCTGATGCTGCCTTTTTTTCACTCAGCATAATTCCCTTGAGATTTATCTGTTATTACATATATCAACAACTCATTCTTTTTTATTGACGAGTAATATTCCACGCTATATAGATGTTCCACAGTTTAACCATTCACCCACTGAAGGACATTTGGGTTATTTTCAATTTCTGGCATTTAAAAATAAAGCTGCTACGAACTTTCATGTACAGGTCTTTGTGTGAACGTGTGTTTTCACTTCTCTGGGATAAGCGTCCAAGAGTGCAGTTGCTGGATTGTATGGTAACCACATGTTCAGTTTCATAAAAAACTGCTATACTCTTTGCATGACAGCTCTCGAAGTGGCCTTGGACTAACCCAGTTCTCCCCCTTTTCTCTTTTTATTTTTTTGGCAGATGGCCAGTATGGGGATCTCCCCCTTCTCTCACTTGTAGTTCTTAAGAATAACTGTAGATTATGCTGGGAATGCAATATCCTGAGATAAGGAGGCACTGGCTGGAACGGCCCAGACTCCATTCCAGTCCTCCCTAGAAACAGGATGGCCTTCATCATTTATATCCTAGAAGCATCATGACAGCCTAGTGTGTCATGCTATTTCCAGGATATAAAACCCAAGGTGATCTGCTTTCCAGGGCCTCTCAGCTGCAGTGCAACTACAAGTGGGGTGCACACAGATGAGACTCCATCCACCCTGGGCAACTTTCCTGACCCTCAAGGGAGTGGCTCACAAGGAATCAAAATGCTTCTGTTGTCCCTTGCTGTGTATCTGTAAATAATTGTATTAGTCCGTTTCTGTTGTTTATAACAAAATTACCTGGAACTGAGTGATTTATAAAACAAAATGTATTGCTTACAGTTTCAGAGGCTGGGAAGTCCACAGTGTAGGGAACACATCTGGTGAGGGTCTTGGTGGAGGCAACAGTGACCCAGTGCAGAAAATGGCAGAGCAGAGAGAGACACTAACCTCTTCATTCACTCTCCTTTTAAAGCCCTCCAAACCACACCCGTGACCACCATTTTTAATCTATTCATTATGGCACAGTGCTAGAATCTAATCACCTCCTCAAGGCCTCACCTTTCAATGACCATAATAGGATTTCCCACCCTCAACAGTTACAGTGGGGATTAAGTTTTGGGGGGACATTCAACCCAAGGCAACAATATATGCACTTCACGTAACTTGTATATGTGAGTGTTCTGTCTCACCAGACTCAGACAATTCCTGGAGATTAACTGACCTCCTTCTGATGAAAAAAGTCCAAAACTTTCAGCCCAAATGGTTTTGTGATTTGGAAAGGTATCTATAAGGGAAACTCACTGCAAAAAAAGTTAGGTCGAGGAAGTTCTAAGAAGAGTGATTTAAAACAAAGCTAAAAATTTATTCTAAAGACACCTGAAAGGAGGGGAGAAAACTAACATTTATTGAGCCGATACACCAGGCCTTTCATACTCTTTTTCTGATTTATTCCTTTCAATGACCTTGTAAATAGGGTAATACGTCCATTTTAGAAATAATACAGTTGAGGCTTCAAGTAATTTTTCAGACAGGCCACAGAGTTAGTATGTGGCAAAGCAAGAATAAGAAGACATACTTCCGCAGCTTCTAGCTCCCTTCAGCTCAGTGCAAGACACAAAGGAGGCAATGAACGCATTTGCTGAAAAGCATTAGTAACTGAGTGAATGAACTCCAGCTCTGTTATTTATGTGTCCCTGGGCAGGGAAATTAACTTCTCTGCTTCATCATTTGTTAAAGGAAGATAATAACACCCCCTTCAAAGAGTGGAAGTAAGGAACAAATAAGGTGACAAAACAGGGAAAACAATTTGAAAATGTAAAATGATAAATAAATGTTAAATAGCATAGCATTTGAAAAGTACACTCAGATTCATAACCAAATACTGACAGGCACAAGACATGGGTGGGTGCAGTGCCAATAACTTACTGTGTGGCCCCATGATGATCACTTAGTATCTCTGTTTCTTCAGTTTCCGTCTCCTGCTCAGCCTGTGCCTTCTGACCTCAGGATCAGACTACCGCTCGTGCCTTCCATTAAAGGTCTGGCTTGGAGGCCGGTGGGGGTGACCGAAGTCACGATTTAACAATTTCGGAAGTGCTGGGTGTGAGCGGTGTGTGTTCTCGATGTCCTCCAAGCTGACCATGTGGAGAGCCCAAGTTCACCTACACGTGGGATGCCGTGGGATGTGTTTTCCCAAACTGCTGCCGGTTCTTGTAAGAGCAGTTAAGATTTTCACCCCAACCCCCTTGGTGCTTTGAACGTAACATGCACATTTGTGGTGAGCAATTGAATGATGTGCTGCTCAGTGTCTTCAACTGGTGGGTGTTTAAGGACGGAGGGGTCCCAGTATGTTCTAAAACTTGGTGATTATTAAGGAAGGAAATCAGAGAAGGTACAGTAAGAGTCGCCTTCATGTTCTTTTATTCTGCAAGTGTGTATCGAGTTCTTGTTAACTGTGTTCCTGTTTCACAGTACAACTTCGTAACTTCCACGTTTCTTCTAGATAGATGTTAAAAAGTTTAATCACAAAATTACAACTCCAAAATCAGAAAGGGATTTAATCAACTGGATTTTCAGATAAAAATAACACTTTCTCATTTAAGAGATCTGAGAGTCCACTGGTGGCTGTTCTGAGGCTGCAATTGGAATTAGACAGATTTGACTCCCTATGCAGATAAACCTGTTCGCTTGGGTGGGCTCCTACAGTGCTTTATGCAAACTTTAAGAAAGTGTTTATCTCATTTGTATTATTTTGTTTATGTATATAAATCTCTTGCTTGACTGTGACCTCTTCAAGGACAGGGAGTGATCCGTAATTATGTCACCAGGACTTGGCATATATTGTTGAAGCTATATTTTTAACAAATAAAACAAGTAGTAAGAAAGAAATACGTTCATCATTCCCAGATGGTCTTTCAATTTTTGACTGATGGTTAAAACAGTTTGTTACTGTTCTGAATTTAGAAGCTTGCTTAATAAAACTTTAAAGTTATTTAGAATCTGATTACATTTGTGACAGGAATTTTTGGAGTTCAAAGATCTTGATGAAATAATTTACTAATTAAGGCCAGGAATAGGAACCAAGGGACTGCATTACTTATGGAGCCCAAGAGGGGTTTGTGGTTAGGGTATTTTATTTCTCCAGATTTCGTAGGCACCAGAAGGAGGAGGGCAGAACCCCAGAGAATTGAATTTGATGCAAAAATTGTGCCTGGAAGAACCATACAGTGAGGTGAGGCAGCTGACAGGTAAGAGTGGTAGGTGCAGAACAGTTTTACACATTTTACTATTGAAAAATCTGGAGGGAATACTGGGAAATGCTTTGGGAGTATAGTGGACCCAATTAGATGTGTGTAATTGTAGTTAGTTTTAATAGGACCAATTTAAAATTGATATTTATGGTTAAGTATTGGATTGGCCTTTGGTGGGGAAGTGTTTGACCTGGAACTCAGACTGAAGCGTGGCAATATAGAAAAGGGTGCTTGTGCATATCCTACTGGTTGTGATACTGTTTCCTGTACTCTGTCACTTCTTTTCCACATTAATGTGGTAAACATGATTGAGGAAAATTTCACTTAAAAAAAAATCCTTTTTATTTGTATGTACTCTCTTGAAACACTTCAAATTCCTGTTATGAAAATACTGTGACATCAAAAATATGCTTTTACAAATGTCACTTAAAGGGTAGGAGTAGGGAAAGAATTGTATAGCAGAAAACACTCTGGATTGTTACATTCCAACATTTTATGATCTCTTGGACTTGTACTGCCCAATACTATAGCAACTAATCACATCTGGCTAGATTTAAACTTAATTAAAATTTAATACAATTTAGAATTCAGGGCCGGCCCCGTGGTGCACTGCGATGGTGCGCCGCTTGGGAAGCGTGGCGGCGCTCCCGCTGAGGGTTCGGATCCCACATACAGACCGGTTCCCGCTCACTGGCTGAGCGAGGCGCGGGAGCAACGCCGAGGGTTGCGATCCCGTTGCTGGTCCCGGTCCGGTACGGGGGCGACACTGAGGGTTGCGATCCGTTGCCGGACACGGAAAAGGACAAAAAAAAAAAAAAAAAAAATTTAGAATTCAGTTGCTCAGTCTCACCAGCCATATTTCAAGTGCTCAGTAGCCACATGTAGCTAGTGTCTGTTGTATTGGACAGTGCAGATAAAAGCCTTTTCATCATCAAAGTAAGTTATGATGGGCAATTCTGTTTTAGACATTTAGCAAGTACTTCCAAATTTTGGAGGGTTTGGTTTTACTGCTAAATGTCTTTCAGTGACATTTAAAGGAAATTTAAAGATCATCGGTCAAGAAATGTCTTTTGATTAATGTTTTTCCTTTCTAATAGGTTCCGATTTTGTGATTCCTACAGATTTTGCTTAGATGACATTGATTAAGGTAAAAATGGGTATAAGCCTATTCGTGCTGAATAGCAAAACTGTTAGCCTTAAAACTACTCTTGTTATGAATGAAGATACCCCAGCACATAGGAAATACTATAGTTGAAAAATCAGAAGTCTTTTCAAAAGCTTCCTACTTTCAGAAAAAACAAAAAGAAACATACACACACAAAATACAAATAAGAAGATTCCTACTTTTAGAAGTAATGGTTAGGGTGGGATTTTAAAAATTGAGATTTAGAGCTCATCTTCACAGATGAGAGATAGGCTTGTAAAGAGGTGAGCAGCTTGCCCAGGGGTTATACAATCAAATTATGGAAGTCTGACCTGAAATCCAAAATGGCTCACTAAAATTTTACCCTGCATTAGAAAGGAGTGATACTAGTAAGACCAATTTAACCTTAGGTATTTAATAAAGATTTTAAATGAATTGCAATAAGCTTTACTTCTGATAAGGTATGTTTTCCTGTTTGGATTCCTAGAGCAGTTCAGCTAGTGCAGAGGAATGAGTTTATGACCCTGGCCCTCGGCCCAGACTCAGTGTGGTGCCACCCTGATGAAAGGTGGCTAAATTGAGAGTTGGGGGTCACTGCTGACACCATCTTTCTAGAGACAGCTGGAGGTAGAGATACCCTTGAGGAAAAATGGCTACTGAGTGTACTTTTCCCTTTTTCCACCAGACGATGTGGCCTCCTGATGCAGACTTAGTTCAGAACGAAGGAGAGTCTGATGTTTGTAAACATTCCTTTAAAGCAGGGTTGAAGGGCAAGCCCGTGGCTCACTAGGGAGAGTGTTGGTGCTGATAACACCAAAGCCATGGGTTCGGATCCCTATATAGGGATGGCCGGTTAGCTCACTTGGGAGAGTGTGGTGCTGACAACACCAAGTCAAGGGTTAAGATCCCCTTACCAGTCATCTTTTAAAAAAAAAAAAAAAGGTTGACAAAGTTTCTTAAAAAGGCCAGGCAGTAGGCAATGTGTAAACAAAGGGGTGTGGCTGTGTTCCAGTAAGACTGCAAAAATGACCAAATAGCCAATAGGCCATAGTTTGTCCACCCCTGCTTTAAAGCATATTGATAGTATAAGCATTTCCAGGATAGTGAAGTTAGCCCCAATTATAATAGTTCAGAAAGGAGAACTGGACCTATGTTCTCCACTTTGGTAAGACCCCACCTATTATTAAGAGCATCTCTGTGGGTGTATGTTACTGACAGCTTTGCACACCATTAAGAAACTAGGGGTTGGGGCCATTCCGGTGGCGCACTGCTACAGTGCGCTGCTTGGGAGCACGGCGGCGCTCCGCCGAGGGTTCAGATCCCACATACAGACCGGTTCCCGCTCACTGGCTGAGCGAGGTGCGGGCGCAGCACCGAGGGTTGCGATCCCGTTGCCGGTCCCGGTCCGGTACGGGTGCGACACTGAAGGTTGCGATCCGTTGCCGGACACGAAAAAAGACAAAAAAAAAAGACAAAAAAAAGAAACTAGGGGTTAAGAGATATGTATGCTGTATCTCATCCTGCTGTGTAGTTATTTCACTTCTGCAACATCACCTGACAGCTCTTCTGAACAATCCATAACTCACCTCAACCCCCTGCAACTGTGGTAGTAAATAGTCTCCATGGAGAACCAAAAGTGGTGCCTTGGGAGAGGAACTGAACATTTATTGCTTGCTTTTTCCATATGTTGAAATGTGGAGATTAAGCAGTGACAAAGATGAGACTTACGTATTAGAAGAATTCATCTGATTAGAGGTGGGGGAGGAGTTAGGCTGGGGGCAGCATTCAGCTGGGAACAGTACTCATAGGTAGCAGGCCTCTCAGTAATCTTTAGAGACATAGTGGGGCCTGAGGTAGAGCATTATAGACAGGGTAATTTGCGGATAGTTTTATGGAGCAGAATCAAAAAGTATCCTGGACTTATTGATTGTGGGACTAAGAGAAGAGGCATTTTAGGATGACTCCTTAGTTTTTGACTTGGGTGCATTTATGGTGTATCGTAGGTATTAGCTGTATAGGAAGGAGTGCAAGTTTTGTGAGGCATGCGCTAGGTTCAGTTTGGGTATGAGTTTTGAAGTGTGGTGAGAGGGAGGTGGTGGGGCATCTAGTCCCCAGGAATACTAGGAAGGAAGTTCTGTGAGACTGTTTAACTTGTTGACAATGAATTGTAAACTCTTGCAGCTCTGCTGTTTGCCTAATTTATTGTGGCCACTTCATTGTGTTGGTTTTTTTTTAATATGAAGAAATGGCATAACAAATTCAAGACAAAAAAAAGAAACTAGGGGTTAAGAGATATGTATGCTGTATCTCATCCTGCTGTGTAGTTATTTCACTTCTGCAACATCACCTGACAGCTCTTCTGAACAATCCATAACTCACCTCAACCCCCTGCAACTGTGGTAGTAAATAGTCTCCATGGAGAACCAAAAGTGGTGCCTTGGGAGAGGAACTGAACATTTATTGCTTGCTTTTTCCATATGTTGAAATGTGGAGATTAAGCAGTGACAAAGATGAGACTTACGTATTAGAAGAATTCATCTGATTAGAGGTGGGGGAGGAGTTAGGCTGGGGACAGCATTCAGCTGGGAACAGTACTCATAGGTAGCAGGCCTCTCAGTAATCTTTAGAGACATAGTGGGGCCTGAGGTAGAGCATTATAGACAGGGTAATTTGCGGATAGTTTTATGGAGCAGAATCAAAAAGTATCCTGGACTTATTGATTGTGGGACTAAGAGAAGAGGCATTTTAGGATGACTCCTTAGTTTTTGACTTGGGTGCATTTATGGTGTATCGTAGGTATTAGCTGTATAGGAAGGAGTGCAAGTTTTGTGAGGCATGCGCTAGGTTCAGTTTGGGTATGAGTTTTGAAGTGTGGTGAGAGGGAGGTGGTGGGGCATCTAGTCCCCAGGAATACTAGGAAGGAAGTTCTGTGAGACTGTTTAACCTGTTGACAATGAATTGTAAACTCTTGCAGCTCTGCTGTCTGCCTAATTTATTGTGGCCACTTCATTGTGTTGGGTTTTTTTTAATATGAAGAAATGGCATAACAAATTCTATTTTAACCTGCTGAGGAAGGGAAATTTGTTGACAATGAATTGTAAACTCTTGCAGCTCTGCTGTTTGCCTAATTTATTGTGGCCACTTCATTGTGTTGGTTTTTTTTTAATATGAAGAAATGGCATAACAAATTCTATTTTAACCTGCTGAGGAAGGGAAATGCACGGGGGAATCCAAAGAGAGTGATTTTCCCAAAAATCCCATGGGGTATAGAAGCTTAGGAGAGGTGGTGAGTATAGACAGTTCTGTTGAGGGACAGTAAATGTGGTCACTTTAAATGGCTCCTTTCAGTGTCATGCTCTATTGATAGGAATGTAAATTGATAGTCTTTCTGAAAGTCATTTTGTATCAAGAGCTTTAAAAATACCTACACTTCTGACCTGGTAATTCTCCCTTTGGGAATTTATGCCAATTTTTTCCTTAAAATATACATAGATTTTGAATGCAAAGAGTATAGGCAGGTGAGAGTATCTAAATGCCCAATAGTTGGGAAATAGCTAAGTAAATTTTGATCGCATAAGATGGAATGATATGAACAGCCAGTATAGTCCTTGCATTATATGTATTTGAGAACTTGTTTTTGATCTGGGAAAATTCTTGTGTTAAAGATGGAGAATTACAAATGCTTCTTAGACTTTATTGTGCATATGAATTACCTGTGGAACTTGTTAAAAGGCAGATTCCAATTCAGTAGGTCTTGGATAGGGCCTGAGATGCTGCATTCTTAACCATTTCCAAGTGTTCTGCTGTTCCACATTTTGAGTAGAAAGGTGCTAGATGAAATAACCCAGCCACAAAGTCAAACATTGCATGTTCTCACATGTGGAATCTAAAACAATCAGTCCTTATAGAAATAGAGAGTAGAATGGTGGTTACCAGCAGTGGGGTTGGGGGCAGGGAAGGATGGGGAAATGTTTGTCAAAGGGTACAATGTTTCAGTAAGAAAGGAGGAACAAGGGATAACTTTGATGTGATGGATATGTGCTTTAGCTTGATTCATTCATCTCAAGTTGTATTCATATTTCATAACATCACTTTGTACTCCATAAATATATACAATTATAATTTGTTAATATTTAATTAAAAAAAAGGAAAGGTACTAGATGACTATATTAAGCAATAACAAAACAGAAATATGCTAAAAAGTTAGAATGGCTTACTCTAGAAGAGGGATTATTAGTCTTCTTTTCTTGAGTACTTTTACTTTTCTGCATTTTTCATATTTTCACAGTGAATATACAGTATTATATCAGTTAAATATACCTACCACGTATTGAGTGCTTACTATGTTTTAAGCCTCTGTGCTAAGTGTTCTGTGTATGTTATTTTGTTCCATTTTCAGTGAAACCCTATCAGGTAAGCAGAGGAGTGAAATGATTCCACCTCATGGGGTTTTACGGATATTTTTCAGAATAATCCATGTTTAGTGACTTGGTTTAGTGCCTGGCATTCATGAAATCTCAATAAATGGTAGCTTCTATGATCATTATTATTATTATTTATTTTCTTGTTTTTGTATATGATACAGTTGGGGCACAGTGGAAGGAAATAACTTGCTCGGGGTCACATAGCAGATAGTTGGCATACTCCTGATTTCAACCCAGATCTCTCTGACTTCTGACTCACGACATACTGTCGTCTCCAGGGGTGAAAAAGGAAACATGAAGCCGCCACTGCCAACTTGATCTCATCGTATCACCCCTAAGAGACCCCCCCCCCAATCAAACTACCACATACAAGCTTCTAAAAACACCCCAGGTTTTTGCTGAAGTTTTGTCAAGAACTACTTCTGACCTTCTTTATTACAGTTCAGAAATTAGAAAGTAATTTAGCATAAGAAGATGAAAATGAAAGTTGTTGGGATGAATAGAAAGATTTAGGCAACCAAATAAAAAAAAGTATTTTTCACTTTCATTTAATATTGAGTAAGTGCCAAAGAACATTTAAAATAAATACATAAATATTTATATATAAAAAATGTAGGGAATGATATGGTGAACACTCATCAACCTACTACCCAGTTTTTTGGGGTTTTTTTAAATTACCTTATTCCTTTTTCCCCCCCGAGAAAATCACCTTCCTGAATTTTCATTTTTTTGCTTTCCTTTTGGTTTTTCCACATATAGTTCAATCCCTAAACAATATATTGTTTAGTTTTATATGAAATGGATTGTACATTATGTATTTTTGTGCAGCTTGTTTTTCAACAAATATTTATATTCCTGAGTTTTATCCATATTATTGTGTATAGCTATAATTTATTTCACTGCATTGTATTATATATACTGTAGTTTCTCCATTCAGGTTTGTTTCTAGATCTTTTATTTGTTATTTCTAACAGTGCTATGATGAAGATTATGTTTCATGGTGCCCATTTGCAAGAGTTTTTTGAGTATATGTTTAGGAGTATAATTGTTAGGTCATGAGGCAAGTACCATATTCAACTTTACTAGGTAATGCTAAATGAGAGGAAGAAACAAACTCAGTTTTTCACCCTAAACTCTCACAATAGGCTGTGACACCAAATGTGTGATTTCTCCCTACTGGCAAGCAGGTAGTTCGGCAGCTTTCACCAGCTGGGTGTCTTCCAGTTCACTTTCAATACTACCTGGAGACAGCGTCAGATCTCAAAGGTTGAGGACGCAGTGACACAAGGCCGTTCCCCACTTCCAATGCCAATTGCAAGCCCCAGGTTGTTTTACCTGTGCTTCTTACCCACTGACTATAAATCAGGGTTCTCACAACCCCTTCCTGGGTTTGATTAATTTGCTAGAGCGGCTCATAGATCTCAGGGAAACACATTTACCAGTTTAATATAAAGGATATTACAAAGGATACAGAAGAGGAGATGCATAGGGCAAGGCACAGGGAAAGGGACACAGAGCTTCATGCCCTCACCAAGTGCGACACCCTCCAGGAACCTCCATGTGTTCAGCTATCTGGAAGTTCCCTGAACCCAGGCCTCTTGGGTTTTTATGGAAGCTTCTTCACAGGGCGTGACTGAAACATGGACAAAAAGGGTATGATCTAATACTAATAGACTGAGTGGGGAAACCCAGCAAGGCCTGTTTGTTTAGATTCTTCTTGGCTTCTCTGTGCAACATTCCTTCCTCTTGGAGGGGACCCCTCTTGAAACGGGGGTCTTATGACCTACAGTCAGACAAAGTAGGTCAAAAAATTTCTTTATGGCCAGCTTCAAGACAAAAAAGTGAGGGAAGATTAGAATAAGGGCTATGGGAGTTATGAGCCAGGAACTGAGGATGAAAACCAAAAAACATAAATAGCACACTAAATTATTTTTCAAATTGTTTTTGTGTACCCATCAGTGTATAAGTGGCCTAGTTATTCTACATTTTCCACCAAATTTGATATAGTCGGGCTTTTAAATTTTGCTCATGGTTGATGTAAAATGACATCTCATTGAGAGTATATATTTAACTTTTAAAAATGTTCTCTGGTTTTGACTGAGTAATCCCCAGAGTGACCTTTAGAGTTATCGGGAAGCTTTTGCAATGCAGATTGTGAATATTGTCATATAAAGTCATAGTATTTCAATTTTTCATTTGCTGAGTACTTTTGTTATTATATAAGATCTTTTATGGTATTTTAAAAAATTCAGCTTGCTGGCTTTTAGTTAATTTTGAAACACATTTTGTGTATATTCTAAAGTAATTTCACAACAGCATTTTGCTACTTTAATGATGGAGAAATCTAAAGTATTCAGCTGGTTTTGCTAAACATTTTAAGTTTTTAAATTGAAATTATAAAAATAAGCTAATTGTACATTAATCCTCTTTATGTTTCCTCTTTTTTCTCTTCTCGTTGCTACAGATATTTACTTTTACTAGTCATAATCCATTTGTCTTTTGTTTGGTTGCTTAGAGAAGAATTTGTAATAAAGTAAAAACAAAAAACTTCCTAAGTTGATATCCCTTAAAAAGCCAAAATATTATAAATGGTAGGACAGTATCCAACATAATAAGGGAATAATTGTACAGAAAGACAACCTTAAAATAAGATTGGCCTCTGATGAGAATTCTTTTGCCAATTAAAAAAACACCTTTTATGTTTTAGCACCAGTATGCATGAGCGAGTGAACCGAACAGAAAGGCAATTTCGATCACTTCCAGCTAATCAGCAGAAACTACTTCCTCAGTTTCTTCTTCACTTGGACAAGATCCGGAAATGCATTGATCATAATCAAGAAATACTGCTGACCATTGTGAATGATTGCATACACATGTTTGAAAATAAAGAGTATGGAGAAGATGTATGTGAAAGTTTGTTCTATTTGTTTTTATTTCAGGATTTAATTTCTATATTTTGAGGTCTTTAGTTTATCTTTCTGGATTTCATTTTCATAATCTTGCACAGGTCATTTGCTCAGAGAAGGTTTTCACTTTTATGTTCAGTCATTTGATTAGGCTTAGTAGAACAGTAAGGCAGAGACTGGATTTATTCACTGATTTTGTTTTTTTAAATACTAAAATAATTGTTGGCATTTGGATGCTCTTTCGACATGGTGTTCTAAGTGTTCTTGTATATAGGGTTAGTGACTTAAATTTTTGTAAACGACTTTATTAGCTATATAAAATTAATTTCCCTTGCTAAACTCATATTTTTTTTAGTATCTTGTATCTATTGATATTCATCTTTTACTGTAAGAAACTATTTTCACTTATACATCTCAAGGGACTGGCAGTAATAGAAACTGAAGTCCTGTTTTTGTATCCACAGGATGGATACAGTTGGGCCACTCCAGTGTGAGCCTCTCCATGCTGCCCCATCCATGACCAGGAGGGACTTTATTCCCTCTCCTAGAGAGAGAGGATGTTCGGTCTCCATAGCAGCTCAGTTCTGGTTCTCTCCTGAGCAAAGACTGCTTAATTATATGGTGGTTTTATGATTAATGGACCATAATCTATTGAGGGTAGAAGTGAGACCACCACACTCTTTTCATTTAGGATCTCAAGCTGCAATTGAACCCCGGTTGAGGTGAGAGGCTAGTGATTTATCCACTAAACCACCTGTATAGCTCCATAGTAGTATGTCTGTTTAACCATATTCAAAATTTGTTACTTTCTCAGAAGCTAATTGATTTCTATTTTTTAAACAGGGGAATGGAAAGATTATGCCAGCATCTACATTTGACATGGATAAATTAAAATCCACACTGAAACAGTTTGTAAGAGACTGGAGTGAAACTGGGAAAGCAGAACGGGATGCCTGTTACCAGCCAATCATTAAAGAAATTTTAAAAAATTTTCCAAAAGAGAGATGGTAAATAGTGCCTTGTTTTTAACCAATTTCTTTAAGATGTATAAGCACTGAGTTTCTCTATGAGACATATCACAGTCTTGATTTACTTTTATAGATGCCGGAAGCCTGTGTGTTTTGCATGTGTGAGTGTTGTATTTGTTATTGGATGCTTTGTCTGCGCGAGGTTGTAGTTAGTATTTTGAATAATTTTTGCTCTAGTATTTATGGGAAATTACTCTAGAAATTAAATAAGAAGGCTAGATTGAATATTCATTATCAGTGATGTGTATCTTTTTATAATTTGCTTTATGGCAAAGCAAAAAGCTACTTTTAATTATTGTGACACTTATAAGCAAATGAGGGATCTATATCTTAGAGCAGAGGCTCTTGACTTTTTTGTGTCGTGTAACCCTTGGGTAGTCTGAAACCCATGGTCTGCTTTTCTGAATAACTTTCTTAAATGAATAAAATAAAATGCATAGGATTACAAAGAAAATGATTATCTTAAAATATGATTATCAAAATACATAAAAAGTGAATTTGTGATATAACATGCTTTTTATCATGCATCACATTAAATACCATCTAGCAGCAAGTGTAATTAATATATTATGAAAATGCTGAATGATATATACATTATTTTAGGAACCTCAGCAGCTAACATGAAGTGAAAATAAATGTGCTTTCTATTGGTGATAAAGTCACAGATACTGCTAAAAATACTATTGTTTGTTGCCTGCGTTCATATTGAAGAAAAAATACCATTTAAAAGTTAATGAAACAGGTAATTTTTTTCTCGTCCCCATCATTGACTCGGTGAATTCTGTCCACAGACCCCATGATTTAGAGGCTATATATTGAAAGAGAACCACAGGATGGAATTCAGTCTGTCATTTAAAGGATCTTTGTAGAGAGACTCCTTTTCCTTATCTCATTCCACTCCTTATTGATTGATAACTTTAAGTTTGGGCATATCCTTCCAGGAATTTTAATACATACTTGTGTGTGTGTGTGTCTCCTCTCTCTTTTTTAAACTTTTTATTTTGAAAGAACTTCAAAATTTCAGGTAAGTTGCATGAATTGTACAGAGACCTCCCAAATATTCTTTTTTTTGTCCTTTTTGAGACTGGCCGCACCGCGCTCAGCCAGTGAGCGCTGTGAGCACACCGGTCATCCCTATATAGGATCCGAACCCACGGCGGGAGCGCTACTGCACCCCCAGCGCTGCACTCTCCTGAGTGCGCCACGGGCTCGGCGCCCAAATACTCTTTATGTAAATTCACCAATTTTTAACATTTTACCACATTTGCGGTATCATTTCCTCTTCCTGTGTTCCTCCTCCTTTCCCCTGTTTTATGTGTGTGTGTGCCTAAAACTACATGTGCACCAAATTATTATTTAAACTATTTGAGAGATTAGTTTGTATATATCATGCTTTTTTACATTTTAATACTTCAGAGTTTATTCTTAAGAATAAGGATATTCTAATCTATCATCTGTATTCAAATCCCATAAGTTACCCTGTTATGTTCTTGCTAACATTTACTTTTCTGTCCTGTCTAGAATCAAATCCAGGATATTGTATTGCATTTGATTGTGATGTCTTTGACTTTACTCTGGAACAGTTTTGGCCTTTCTTTGACTTTCATTGACATTTTGGAGAATAAAAGAAAGGTGTTTTTTTTTTAATAGAATATTTGTTGAGTTTTAAGACTGATGTTTCTTCATGATTAGATCTAAGTTGTATATCCCCAGTGGAAATAGTACACAATTGCTGTTATATTCTTTTCAAGATATCACATCCAGAAATATACAGAACTCTGTCAGCCCATCGTTGATTATTTTAATTTTATCACCCAGTCAAGACGTTATTTGGTTTCTTTACTGTTCAGTTAGTATTTCCTTTCTCACAACTAATGAGGAATTTCTGACAAGACACTTTTAGACCATGCAAGTTATTTTTTGTTTTTGTGGGGGGAGTGGGGGCAGCTGGCCGGTACAAGGATCAAACCCTGAACCTTGGTGTTATCAGCACCACACTCTAACCAACTGAGCTAACTGGCCAGCCCCCTTATACCATGCAATTAATGTACTGCTTGTCCTCAGGCTTTCTCCTGCCTAGAATTGTCATCCATTGATGATTCTTGCATGAACCAATCTGTGCTATAGTGGTTGTGGAATAGTGACTTTCTAACTCTACAGTTATCAGCTGACATTCTACTGTAAGGAAGAGCCTTTCCTTCTCCCCTACCTATGTATCTAACTACTTATCAGGAAAGACTCATGGTTCCTATTTTATTCAGGAAGTTATAATCCATTCCTGTTATTTTTTATATTGTTCAAAGTGCCTCAGATTTGGCCAACAAGAGTTTCTTCAAGTTGGCTCCTATGTCCTTTGAGCATACCCCCAATTTTTTTTTTTTGAGTTCTTCCTTACTTTCTGGCACAGTACTTCTCCAAGGACCTGGTTCTGTTTAGTGCGAAATGGAGTGTAGAAACCAAGATCTGGCAGTGAACATGTTCGTTGTTACTATAATATGTCATTTGCTTCTCTAGAAATCATGGGTTCATACTGGTAACTCAATTCCAGTCCCAGCTTCATAGGACTTCTCCTTAGTTTCTCCTCTTCTCTGTGTGTACCTTTTCCCACTTGAGAACCTTCGCGTCCAACGACCTCAATACATTTACTTATTTGCTCAGTTGTCTACTGTCACAAAACAGTTTCACACTTGGGCCGGCCCTTGGCTCACTCGGGAGAGTGTGGTGCTGATAACACCAAGGCCACGGGTTCGGATCCCATATAGGGATGGCCGGTTAGCTCAGTGGGTGAGCATGGTGCTGACAACACCTAGTCAAGGGTTAAGATCCCCTTACTGGTCATCTTTTAAAAAAAAGAAACAGTTTCACACTTGCTACATCCGTACCTCTATGAAAAAGAAGCCTACTAAAGGGAGCTCAGAATTTGCTAGCAATTTTTTCCCCCCTAGACTAAGGGTATATAGTAAAAATATTCTTCACGATTTATTCACATTAGCCTTCTCCCCCCCCCCCCCCCCCCCCCCCCCCCCCCCCCCCCCCCCCCCCCCCCCCCCCCCCCCCCCCCCCCCCCCCCCCCCCCCCCCCCCCCCCCCCCCCCC